AAGAAATATCGTATAGAAGTCTTTATTATCCCAGTACAGCACGCTGTAATACCCCGAGACTAGGGTGCAACATATGGGTCAGTTTTCGATTATTCCGCCAGCACGATTTTCTTTTGGCTCTCCGACAATAGTAATAATAATAATAATGCATTTTATAAACGCAGCTGTCCGACAGTTTGTATCCCACAGTCTATCTCAACTCCCGCGCGCCCGCTCCACCATCCTCGTCAACGGTTACTCCTGCAGCAACAGGTCCGCCTCGTGACGGGTGTATAATAATATAATATTATGTATGTATACAACAATAATAATAATAATAATAATAATACGATCTGCTGCAGCGAGATTATTGCCGCGATAATAATAAGACGTTTCTCGCGATCGTATACATCTCAATTTTTCGTTTATAGCGTCTCATCGAGATTGTATAATGACGACGTTCCAAGCAATCCCGGTTTTTTTTCTCCAACAAAACGTTTAAATTTATTCCGAAAACTCTATACACCACTTTATATACGTCAGACACGACGTCATAACGTATGCTTTTTTATTAAGTACCTAGGTACCTATGTTTATAATACGTATTATACAGCTATCTGCATAGACGTGTAAAGCTCGTATAAATACATATTCTAATATATTATAATACATTTTAAAATATTCGTGTTTTCTACTGTAAAATGTGTATTTGTTAACGCGATGAACTGCGTTGCTGCAGTATTATTACTATTTGGTTTTTTAATGAGTGCGATCGAATAAAATTAAAAACTTACACATACTTAATAATATGTATATAGGCATTTATATCTATATACATATCGATAATAACCGAAATTTTACGTCGTAAAATAAATGGTATGAGCAGAATTGTTATACTTGTTTTGCTGTACATTAAAACGTGGAGACTGCATTGTTTTTGGAGAATTGTTACGTCAGACACGTCACATGTATAACAAATCTTTTATTCTAACGAGTATATCATGTATATCTACCTGACACGTATACTGGTATACTTATACCAAAGTCAAAAATTGATGTATGAATAAAAAATGATATATACCGCATTAAGACTTTGAACATGAAATGAAATAATGTTCATTTGATAAATTACACAATATAGTAATTGACGTTGACTAATTAGTATTTTATTCTATACGTCAATAATGCTATTATTGTATTAAATCAATCTCGTCATAAACACAATTATTTGATATTATTTGGTCAGATCCGGTAAGATGGCAATGACGTATATTAAAAGGATATAATAGTATATTATTAGTATAATCCTGATTTATACGTAAGTTATTTGTTAAAAAGTCTTAGTTATATTATTACCACATATTATAATAAATCATAATATTAGGCACATCGAATGCGTATTGAAAATATTCAAGAAGTCAATACGATTAGGTTTCTACTTTAAAACAAAGACAAATTATATAAAAACGTCATGCAAATGTAATACGTATATACATCATTATTTTTTTCAATATCAAGATTTTTGAAATTATTTAAAACATCTGTTTATTTATATATTATGCTTGTACAATTTATAAATTTTAGTTACCGTCGAATATTTGTAAAATGCATGTCATACTTTAGTAAAAACTAAAATCATGCATATTATATATATTACATCTCTCAATATTTCATACTCGGGTCTCGGTTAAACGATGTGATACTTTAAGTGAGAACAAGAGTGTACACGTGAGATGCACCAATACATATACTTATATTATAACCTATGGGCATATAAGCGTACGTTTTCTTCTTAACACACAATGACAGATAAACGATGCCGTCTTTCTGAGAGGATTACCGTCTGTCCACGGCCGTGTAAAAACGTCACGAACACCAAAAATATTACATTATTGTAACAATCTTTTTTATAATGTACGGGTCAAGCTTTTCTCTTGTTCGACAAATGGACAAATGGACAAATGATGGCGGTGTTTTTGTCGCTTTAGCGTTAAATCTGTTTAAAATTCGCATTATTGTGTTTATCGGATTTATCGGATTATTGATGCCGCAGCATTTATTATATAACATACTACTACTATATTGTACATATAGCTGGTTTAGAAAAATACATATTTTCAAAGTATGTTTTGTTTAGTCTTTATGTAAAAACTATCAAAGTTGGGGAAATCGTTTAGAAACTTGTTAGGAAAACGCTGTTGAGGACTACATAAAATCTGCGTGTTTTGTCTGTGTCTTATTAACGTATCTACAGCATAATATTGAATACATTTTCGTTCAGTTTAGTTTTAGATTAAATTATCAAATATAAAAGTAAGAAAATTATCAGTTTTTATGTATTTTTTTTTTTTTATACAACAAAATGAGTTATAAGCATTTTTAAATCGTAATATTTTATGTATACTCATGGAGTCGTAAGCCATATCTTGCTTGAAAATTTAAATAAAAAACAAAAACAACTGACAAATACTGATAATAAATTCCTTTAAGTTTTAAAATGGGTTAATTAACTATAACTTTAAAGTTAATAACATAAAAATATAAAATTAGTTCAGTTAAAGGTAAATTTACTATATGAACCTTTGTAAGTCGAAGACAAAACGTCATACGAGAAGTCGGAGAGTGTGTTATTTTCTTAGACATAATGTTGTTCAAAACTTGAATTTCTGTTTAATAATACAATAATAAATTACAAAATGTATAGAAACGTATAGGATATATAATGTATTTATATGATATCATATTTTTTGGAGAAGAATCTATGAATTATCTAACACTTCAACGTATAAGTAAAATTAGATTGACAAAATTCGAATTACAAAAGTAAATTTTTTACAATTAATAATATACGTAATTTATTTAATAATAATAATACTGTATTAATAAATAGTTATTATTTATTAGGAATAAATCTGATACAATTTATTAAAATATACCAAATATAACTTAAATTAATGCAGTGGAAATAATCATTGTTGTTATATCATATTGCTATGTAAGACATCGGTGTAGACACATTAATTATTAATAAATTAATAAATATGTTAGGACGTAAGTATATAGGATAGGTAAGTATAAACATAATAGTTTCAAAAAAATAAAACTCGATTATTATTAGACCTTTTCAGTACGTGGATATATTTTTTTTTTTTTTAATATTTAAAGAAATGTTTAATAATCAAATTTATTAGTTATCAAAATGGTTTTAAAAAACTGAATAAAATGCTATCTTATAATATTTATATTTTTCATAACAACATTATTTCAAATTAAATAAAAATTATTTTTAAATTAATTAAAAGGAATAAAATATAATATGATGTCAGTTGTTAAGTATGTGTGGGACGTTAGTTTTGGGAGTAAAACGCGAGAGGAACGTTAATGGATATCGATTAGCATACGAATTAGTCTGTGTAGGTTATATGTAAAAACTATTATCGAAAAAAATTGATTTGCCATCTATTTTATTGAACGGAACGTAGGACAAGTATATATATTATAAGTATAATAATGCATAGCATAAAAGCTTGTATAAAATAATAATTTATTAATGTAAGAGTATTTTTAAATATAAATTCTAGACACTTTCAAACTACTCTTGCATCGATGTTGTTGTATTTGAACAAAAATTTTATTGAATATTTTTATACTATTGAAGGCGTATTGCATTTCTAAAAAATGTCATTATTCATAGGTACTAACGTCATCACATAATAAAGCAACAAAATAAAACAAAACATTTTTTTGGCATAGAAATCAATCATATCAAATTAGGAGAATATACCAAAAGATATTAACAATAAACACTGATTATAGGAAATACAATTATCACCTCTTTAAATTGAATTATACGAAATAATTTGTATCTATGTGTAAATTAATATAATATGATCTGTTTAATAAACAATATATCTATTATAAAAGATAAAATACATAGCTTTCCAATATACATTCATTATGTAATTATATCATATAAAAAACATCAACACTTTATCTTGTATATATTTTTTCAAAAACACATTATTGTTACTGAATGGTTGGTATATATAAGGTTTTTTGTTAGTGATGCGCAAACAATATTTTTATTTTTTTTTTTAATTTTAATATTCAAATTGTGTAAAATGGAATTAAATCGAAGAATAAAATTTTCTTTTGTTGAGTAATCGTATATTAGCTTATACAAAATTAATATTTAAAGAATTTGATCACGTCATTATGTGCTTAAAGTAGATGGTTATTTTTATTTTTCATTCTATATTTTTAATATCATGTTAACTATTCATATTTATATGTTCAATAAAATAAAATTAAAATAATTAAAATAATAGATATTATAAATCTGTATTGTGTAGTACTTGGTATTATGGCGGATTTTTAGTGATCTTATTAGTATTGCGCTTAACCCATTTTAATTAGGTATAAATTTATATTATAACTATAATATTAGATAAATTTTTTTTTTTGGAAAAATGAACATGAGTATAAATCATTTTTTTGGGAGGCGAGGGTTTGTTCTCCTAGTCTCCAGTTAGATATATAAAATATATTGACTAAAATGATGATAACAGTGTTTAATACGATAGTTGTTGAGGCGTAGGGAGTACATTGCGATGTACGCGTCATGTCGTTCACACGTCACCATTGCTGTCTGTGAATTTTTGACAAATTCGTTGTTGTCGGCGACGGCTGTGGAATGACAGCTGTGGCAGTATGCCGCGGCGAAACGTAAATATGCCTGTCGCCGAATGGGATGACGACCATAGGACTCGATGAGTAGGAGAAGGACGAAGCGTAGATATTGCGTTGAGTAGGAACAGCTTGGAGGACGGGGATGAGAAGGATCGAATGCGCAGGATTTTAGTCGCCAACGACAGCGGCGATAGGATGGAAGATATCGAACGAGATGGGATAACCATGTGGGGAGAGGGCAAACGAACTGGCAGATGTCGGCAGCAGGTACACGCACACACGCACATAGTATAAGAAACGCACGCACGCACGCGCTCGTTCGCCGGGATTCGGTTTTTCGGAGCCAGTCGACAGTCGTCAGCCGTCGACCGTATGGTTATGTTGTGCGTATCGCATCGAGCTTCGCGTCCATCGAAGTACGTTTTTCGTATTTAGTTGATAATAATATCGCGTGTAAAAATTAGAAATCGTTTTACTGACCGAATAATAATTAAAAATCGTGTCGATGGTCTTTGCGTACCGAACAAGTATACTTAGTGAGAGTGCGGAATTAAATATTATAATAAATTATTATTTTCTCACCGTTTGTCGTTATTTTTAAATTTTTAATAAAAAAAAAAATCGGCTACTGACATAATAATATACATTTTAAATAAAAAAAAATCTATTGGAATGATATTATGACAGTGCTCTCTCGTTCGATTTGAAAATTATTGTGAGTACTTAAATATACCTAATTTAACCTACCTAATTGTTAATATTTATTTTTATTTATTATTTTATTAAAATTTAACAACATGTATGTCGGTCATTCGGGTGTGTGCTTGCGAAATCAGATACTGTGTGATTTATATAGTACTGATAGGTCAACATTCGGAGTAACTATATAGATCCGTCTTATCATTTTAAAGGTTTTTTCCTTTTTTCGTTATGTGTAGGTTATTAAAACGCAAAGATACTGATTAATATTATAATACACTCCGCAAAGCCGACTGTGGACGACACGCTCGGAACATGTTATTTTTAAACGAAATCCTACAGATGCGAGACGCGCAATGTTTCCGGGGCAATTAATATATATAAAATTGTGGCAGTATGCATTTTACGACTGAGCCGGCGGCCGTGTCCCAAAAAAAGAAAAAAACGTTTCCGGTTCATCGTAGGTTTTGGCGGGCAATTTAACAACTACAACAGTATTTAAAGTACCTATCTAATTTTAATTACTGCCAGGCATCTATATAATAATATTGTATTGAAATAAAATCTTTTGTCACCAAATCACGATTAGTCTGCGCAGAGGACTCTTTCTTTTCGTCTACATTCAATTTAAACATATTAGAGATATAGCTTGAGTTTCTAGATGTTATTAACTGTAAGAAAAGGCATTGGTATACTTGTATTGTGTATATAGGTACATATGAAACTGCAACGAGTCTACCGCGAGGTTGACGGTTTTACGATTCTTGGACCGTACCTGTCTCCACGACTATTATTATTCCATTATTCAAACGACACTGCGCACACTTCCTTTGAATTTTACAAAATGCATTCCATATAACGGGGGAGTATGTATATATGAAAATACCGAATTTAATGACTCCTCCACCACCCACCCAGTGCTTGTTATTATTGTGAACACGAAAAATAGATTACGACTGTCATTCTCCGTTTTCGTGGGTACTGCCTATAGTGACGGGGTATAATAGATATATATATATATATAAGGTACATAAGGTACCACGACGATAGTATAATAAAAACACCGTTTAATGAACCTATTCGAAGAGTGTATAAAATATTTTTATAGCTCCGTGGAGCTCTTCCTAATTGCGTACATTTGTACTGATGTATAATAAACTATTTATGTTTATCCACCAACAATCGTTTACCGTCAACCACGATAAGTCTATCAGACAAATATTCTACAAACGTTAAAACATAGTAATATAACGTTTCCATAGACCAACATGTATATATATCGTCTAATCGCAACAAATCGAGTAATCAATTTAAACCCGTCCGCTAAACATTTTATTGCACGTATCGCGAGGTATTTTTATATTTTTCAGGCGATGTAGATATATTATTATTATAATATTATAACCACGTTAGACGAAAACAAATATTAACGTCACGTCTAATGTTTTCAAATACCTAATTATATTGAAGACGACACATTTTAATTAGTATTTTAAATTAAACGTCAAGAAAAAACCTCTAGTAATTTATTCGGATTTGAGTTTATCGTGTTTATATTATTATTTTTATACAACGAAAGACTGTGTATTATTTGAAGGTTGGTTTTTTGAAAAATTCTGAAACTTGTTTCTAGTCTAAACGATTTTTGTCGATATATTATACACAATATACGTGCTATTACTATATAATATATAATATATATGTATACGAATAATACCTACCTATATTACGACTATAGCTGCCTGCTACGGATCTATGATCACTGAAATAATGTAATATTATAGAACCTGTTCCGAAGTCCGTCTCGAAATGTGTATAGGCTCGTAGATGTCAAAAACTATTCCGCATGTATGCACCAAAAACAAATCTCGGCGCCATTCACTTGTGTGATGCCGATTATTTCAAATATTTAAATAATAGACATTTTCTAAGTATACATTATACACGATTTGAATAGTCTAACTACGCTATTACGAAAAAAAAAATGTTTTTATCTTCTCACGGCGATTTTATTAATTACCTATTAGTATATGAGAATTGTAATGTACGTTTTACGTTTTATGTGAAATCGGTGGACCCCACTTGTTTACACTTATTAGTTATATGCTCACAAATATAATAAGTACTTAAAATGTACGAAACACGCATTGAGCGGTTTTTTGAAGTACGTGATAACTGATGACCATTTGGAATAAGAGATCAGCATTAAATCCGTCTGGTGCGGAAATAATTATTGGCCGGTTCCAAACTCGTATCTATTCCACTGCGCTTGAGTATGATATGTAATTTTAATATTATGAAGTATGCTAAATAGGTATCTATCAGTGTAATCAATTTTACGACCCTTCGTGTTGGTATCCACACTGCAGTAAATGGGTAATATTTATAATATTACATTTGAAAATTATTAATTAACCAGTCCGAATGAACCGTCAATAAGTACGATGCGTGCAAAACATATAATTTTTTTGTTCATTTCAAAACGTCCGCCGCGAGCGACGTATATCCAGGACAATTCTTCTATGGTAAATCAAACCTTATAAAATACAAAGATTTTTTTTTTAATTTTAAAAAACAATTATTAATAATCATAGGGAAATGTAAATTTAGATATTTTTAAACATTAAAAAAAAAAAAAAATTAAAAATTCTTTGTATTCCCAAATAATATATTCTTTAGCTTTGCGATAAGAGAATCGAGCTGTATTTTGTACATTATAATATAGGTTTAAAATATTCACTGCAGTTTTTCGAACCGAAAAATTATTTTTTTCACACTCATATGGCACTTGAAAACATTGCGATTCGTGTTCAATCGAACGAACATAGAATATCATTTAGATTTATAACTTATAAATATAAACAATATATACGTTTGTGGCTTGGCGTGGTGCGTTGGCTGCTACCAGTCGCGGAATGCGACTGAGAGTAAGTAACGGCCACAGCTACTATAGCTTCCGGGTGGGTGACCACTCGGGATCATAGTGGTTAAAAACCTTGCCACACATACACGTGTTTGCTATCAACCGTAACAATCGTAAAAATACAACCTACCGTACCAACCTTACCCCTTACCATAGTTCATAACCCCTACAAACAGCTAATGGCCCTAGTTGCCGGGCTTAAGTTCAATAAAAAAAAAAATATATACGTTTGTTACTTACAAAGCTCAATCACTGTGTAGAGCTAGATTTTACTTGTTAATGACGCTAAAATTTAGTTATAGGTACTCATTAAAAACTGAAAAGCATAATTTTATTCGGAGTTTTTCTAAAAAGGTTTTGTTCGTTATAGTTACTATGGTATAATATACACAATATATTGTGAAATATTTAGTATTTAATGCCGACCGAAACACAAAACAGCAATCGTCGTCGTAAACCATGTTGTTTTTTTTTTTTTTGGGAGACGGTTTTTTATCTGACGTGATCTTTTCATTTCCCGCTCGTTCTCGCTCGCACTCAAAGGCCCCCCTCACTACTCGGTATTGTCCCTCCGCGCGTAATCCGAGACGGATTACCACGTCTTATATTATACGCATATAATATGTACCTATATACAGGCTGGAACTGCCCGGAGGGGTGACAGGTGAAAAGGTCTGACAGTTCTGCACGACCATGGTATATAATATAAGCATACACATATGGGTATACGACGGTTGAATGCGCGCGCCGTGTTGTGTGCCACCTGTGTACTCTGAACACGGCAGATCGTTTCTTTTCTTTCGGACGACGTTCGGCGGGCGGTTTTTATATTTTTCGCATACAACCCGCGCGCACGGCTGCAGAGACGTCTTCGTGGGAGAATGGAAGATTATATTATATATAATATTATAACGACTGTGACGTGACAGCTCCGTCCCTCCCCCTTGTTCACCACCCTCTTTCTTAGGATTTTTTTCCTTTCTGTTGTATTGTTTCTTCGACCGAATCCATCTTTTTAGCCCATAAATGTACACACATATTATAAAAATGCGCAACTCCATTTGACAAATAATATTTCGTTAAAATGATATAGAGTAAAATTTTCAAACATTATTATAATATTTGAACTATTTTCACATTGTTTCTCGGAAAATTAAGAAAAGTCTATGTACCTATTCATACGACTATAATGTTTATTATATATGGATTCCGTGACTTTTAATAAATTAAAATTATACACATTATAATAACGCAACGACTTATTGAAATGTATTAATAATTGTAATTTTATAAAAATATCAAATAATAATATGATAAGTAATTTTTTTGTTTTCTTAACATCGATGTATAAATATGTAGATAATAAATTTAAATAGAGAATGGAAAATATTGACAAAGATATTAAAAACATATAATTGGATTAAAAGGAAGGTACACAGGATAATTTCACAATAAATTATATCGAATTAATTCGAATTTTATTTTTACGACAAAATCATTTTTATTCTTTTTTAGTAAAGGATTTTTTAAACACTTATTATCAAACGTAATATCAATAAAAATTATTAAATTGTGTAATAAAATCTTGTCATAAAATCGTAAAAACGTGTTTAATATATATAAACAATTTTGACGCCATTGGTTTATTGTATGCAAAATAATACCGTGAGATTTTAGCGTATGTATAATAATAGACGTAGGTACACTTAACTCAATGACATAAATTATACGGGCTTGAATTTGATTTTGTGAATTTTTAATAGTTTTATAATCAAAATCCTTTAGAAGCCACCCGTATCGCATATAAAGTTTCCATCGGGTGGGTCGACGGCGTAGTTTCAGTGTATTATTACAGACGAAAAAGACAATTAAAGGATTAAATCGTTTTGATATTTTCGGATTGTAAAAATGCGTTGTTAAATTTTTCATTATAAGTTTTACGGTACGTCGTGAATTAAAAACAACTTAAATTAAGCACATCGTATAATTTATTATATTAAACGGCCATAAGCATGACCACATAACTGGTGTATATTTTTATGTTATGTTCATGATTTTTTATGCACCCATTGTATGTCGTATTAAATATACGAATGCTTACATTATTTTATAATGTTTTATGACTCCAAACATTTTGACGAACTTCTGAGTCTCGCACCTGAAGTATTAACTACACAATATATAAGTATAGTTAATAGTCATATTATAATCTATATATTATGTGCCGTTATAATAATTTTATAATTATTCTACATTCGAGTTTAGCCAACCGTTTAAAACCGTGGAGAGAAAGCGATCAACCGTCGTGTAAAAATGACACTCTATAATTGCGATACATCATAGTACTCATAATAATTTTTATACATTAAAATAGCCTTTAGGTATAGGTCATGTATGGTATATGTATTTATTTTGTGTGGAAAGAAATTTTCGTCTAAATCCCGACTAGAATGTTGGTAAAAGAGAAAAGTTTTTCGGGAGAAAAAAAATGCCCGGAAAACTACCTTGTTCCCTGAATACGACCGGTCGATCGGACTTCTATGGAACACGTATCGTTGTATTTAATCGACTGGTGTCCGCGCTTGTATATGTATAAATAATAAGTATATTTTATTAAATGCGATTCGATCACACATACCATCACATTTATACATATACATACATATACACACGGAAATTGCCGGAATCCGTATGCATAATATATTATTATATTTTATAATGTTTAGTAGGTATACAAATTATAATATATATATATTATTAAATACGAGTAATATTATCTGCAGTATCTATAAACTCGTGTATTTTTAATACGACGAGATGGACGTCGAGACACGGGTCGCGTGGCGCACTGCTGATAGGTACTCGACAGAAAAATAAATTGTGTGTATTTTATACGAAAACAAACACATATAATATTATAATAATATTATATATTTAGGTCCGCCCCCGCGCTCGACTGCATAATTTTGTATTGCCCGTCGCGGCGTGGCGTGCGTGATGTCGTGTATTCGATTTCACCGCGCGTGTAGTGTTTGTTTAGTAGTATATACTATGTACTATACACACACACACACACACACACACATACACATTACTTGCGGTAGTGACCCTATATACACACTACTGTCCTACGTGTGTGCACAAGTCAAACAAATTAAACGGATATAATATAACACGCACACACACGCGTATAATATATAAATATATATTTACATTAATATACGTAATAACGTCATGATTTGGAAGTATAAATCCTCATCCTCTCGTCCGCTCACTATACTCACAGGTATATGATATAATATTTTAGCCCTCGTCCCGCTGCTAAAGCCTATATATACATATTATAGCCTATAGGACATTGTATAAATAATAAATATGTACACACACGGCTCACGACAATAATAATAATAATAATAATAATAATAATAATAATTCAGGTAGCAGTCGACGAGAAACGGGATGCGCGACACGCACTGCACAATGGCGTCGGGCAGACAATACGTGAATAATAAAACTCGCGACCGTCCATCTCGCACGTATTCCTACATTGATGCTTAGTATTTATAGAAACGCGCATCGCGCGCGCGCAGGTTGGCATGCAGTACAATGGTTAAGAAGACAAAATTGAATTGTACTCGCATTATTCTTTTTCCGAGGACGTAAAGTTACTGTCGCGTGAGGTGGTGTCGTTTCAGATAATGTAAAAATTTTAGATTTTGGGAGGAGAGGGGAGATTGGAGATTTGTTATTTTGTACATTTTTGTTATTTACCAAAACGTACCAATATAATAATAATATTATGGGCATTTTAAAACCAAATTCAATTCAGCCGCATTGATAAAATGTCCTGCTTCGTTATTAATGGTTCATAATTTGTTTGGCTACATGTAATTAAATAATTCATTTTAATCCAAGAGTATCTCAGTACAATTTTTTTAAATTACTATTTTTTTTTTTTTTTTAATTATTATGTAACGAGATCGATTTGCAGATTTTCAGAGAAATCTTAACAGCGTGATTTACGGATGGAATCAATAATCAAATGATAGGTTGAATTTTGCACTCAAACGAATGAATTTAAAAATCGAGAAAAAAATCTCTAATTGTATATAATATAATATAATATTATTATTATACATTATATTAGTTACTAACTTCAGATTTATGTTCATGATGGAAAAATGTATCACGGCCTACCACATCCCGATTTCATAAAATTATTATACTTACGATCGTATGCATTATAAATGTTATATAATATCTGTGGTCGATGTCCTGTAATTAATGCACGCGAGTTTCGATTTACGACCGATTTGACATTGATTGTCGTCGTGCGCAGCGTCGATGAGAGTGCGCTTGGCATTTTTATCGATTTCGTGAATTTTTTTCATTCGTTCGACGATGAAACCGATTTCGGACCGTCTTTTTTTCTCGTGTGTGTAGCAAGACTGAACTAACAAACCGCCTAATATAGAGCGTATACATATACTACGTCTGTTTAATAGAATAATAATGTTTTCGTGACTTACGTGCGTGCCTTAGCCATGCGGTAGGTAAACTAAACGAACGTTCTGAAGTCATTTAGTTTTTATTTTTTTCCGTATGTGACAAATTATTACATTAAGTATCGCTTAATACTATTTCTCACACGAAACATTTTTGAAATAGGACAACAGATCAACGGTCGTTATACAATATATTATAAGACTTACAACTCCGTATACTGTGAATAGCCTATAATATATTATATTATGAATTGCCAATTAATATTTTTGAAGGGCTAATTTAAGAATTTAGGAAGTTTTTTGACCTATTAGAAATTAAAGTACATGTTCATCCAAAATAAATAAAGGCAAATTTAAAAAATTAAATTAGAATCAACGAAAATATTTTTAGTCCTCCATTAAAAAAGTAAGTTTTAAAAATAAATTTCCTTTCTATGGGCTCAATAAAGTTTGTCTGTGGGCCGTCATTTAGTAACCCTATTGGCATATAAGCTCAGGTAGATACTTATAGAAGTCCTAATAAAAAAAAATAATAGTCTGTTTTTTTAAAATAAATCGGCTAAATCCTATAATCCTATTAATCCAGTATTGCCTGATCACATACGCGATGCTTATGGCTTAACATGGCTACATTGGTTAGGATATTAATCATGTACGTTTTAAGTGTCTAGTTATTAATATATATCTCGGATCGTCGTATTTCGTATGTGTCGTGCGTCGACTATAAATCAGTTGATGTAGCATTAAATTAAGGAGTCATCTCAAATCCGCTGTGACTGAACAATATTCTTAACCGATATTGTATAGATATAATAGGTGGTGTCCATGAAATACCCCTACAGTGAGTAATACATATTTTCGTCAATTTTAAGAACTTGATTTATTATTTTTCAACGACCGTCGCAAATAAACGACGAGTACTGCACGGTATCTGTACTAAATTTACTAATGAACTGTAAAATAACAATAATTCATTGTTTATTTAATGTTTTTGTGATAAAAAAAATCTGGTTCCGCGTTAAGTAATTATTGTTGTCAATTTAGAATTGAGTATAAATAGAGATATTAAATATAGTACCGTGTTAAATGCTGTTTTCTCGTCAATATGCATGTCGTACCTGCACAATCTCTATTCGTTTTACGCATACTTGTTTGCGAACATATTACATATAGCGTTGTTATAACCATTTCGATAAGATTTATCTTCACGTTAAAGTGCTACAGCTACATCGGTATTTATAAATATTGCGAACGTGCCTATATAATATAAGGCATTTTTTCGAGCAGCGATGTGAAACGTTTTTAATCTGCCCGCGCAAGGATGGATAACGCATCCACTTTATTCGACACCCGCCTTTGTATATTTTAACGATACAATCGGTACTCAACAAAAATCCGACTAATAATTATAACGACTGACAACAAAGTGTAATATTACTGCAGCTAGTTCTGATACCCATCGCAAATATTTTACTGACCGTTTACGATTCGTTTGTGTGCGCAGGAACAGTGGTGAAGATGACCACCAATGTCACTACCACAATGTCGATGGTCGTTTTGCTGCTGTCGGGCATGGTGTCGTTGGTACTGTGCGGCGGCGAAAGACTGGAGGACAACAGCGCCGTGGCCGTGATCGACAACAATCAACAGGTGATGTGCGAAGACGTACGAATGAAGTGCGCGATGGGCATGGGCTGTTCGATGGCGCTGCAACACTACTTGGCTAAATGCGACAAAGTTCTCCAGACCGACTCGGCCACTTGCCCCGAATCGTGTTTGTACGCGTTAGTCGCACTCACATCCACCGAAGACGGCAAGCGGATGATGGACGTGAGTACATTAATATTTCTGAAGTTTCGTACAATTTAAATATATTAACTATATTTTTTTATAAATAATAAAAAAAAGCTATAATTTTTAAAAGCAAATAATAGTACTTATCTTTCTTTGCCAATCTTACGACATATAATATTAAAAATATACAATACATAAAATGTTGATAAGAAATGGAAATTAAGAAAAAAAGGTACTTAATTATTTTTATAGTGTATCAAAAAAAAAACCACGTAAACCCGTTCACAGTCCCGATTATTATGTAACAAACGATATTTCTGCACATGAGAGTAAAGAACATTTTCAAATATCGTATCAATATTTTACGCATATTACTGCCAAAATCAAAGTACTTATATCGTGTTAAAATGTCTTCGTTTAAGTCGCTACAGGGAATTCGTATCGGGTCTGACGCAAAGATAATATACACTTTTAAGCGAATATCGTGTGGGCAGATTTGATATTTTATGCATACTGTCGTCATAGGAACAACGCTAAAATACGATATTGTATTTTTCCTTATACGCCATATATGTGGTCATATATTTATATGTGTGCATACAAAACAACGCGGTGTTCGTTAAAGTCACCGGTGAAGTCTTATTTATTTTAATGCCGTATTGGTATATTATTATAGTTGTTTGTTCATGCTGTACCTATTACGTGTTTGCGTTCCTACGTCCGTTCACATCGTGATAAAAAACAAAAAAAAAAAAAACACGCGAATAATTTAACATCAACCGGGATTCAGATGTTTTCGAAACAGAAATTTTAATTGGGCGAGAGAAAAAAAAATAGTTCAATGAAATTGTATTGTCGAGTTCGTAATTGCGGGGTTTGAAACCCGTCGCCACGATTCTCGTGAAATATGTTTGAAAACTCAATTAAAAAAAAAAGTAAGCGCACCGCCACATTATAGTATGCGCGCTTTTAGCCTCTGGGGTCGATTATTTTCGAGAGGGGATATGATTTATGGCGATTAATACACTCGTCTATATACATTATTGTATATATTATATAATATTATACTCGTATGTTTATATTTGCTACAGCGGTAAATCGACTATTCAGAACCGTAAAACTTCTACAGAAAAAAAACCGCTAGAACATTCCACCAAACCCTATAATATATACAAGTATATATTTAACACACATTTTGTATCATATTATATGTTGTTTTCATGAGTAATTAAAAAAATCGATCATTTTATAAAACGGCATTTATCACTTTACAAACAGCACTAAAAATGATGAGATGTAAAAATGCTATAAAATAATTTAGATTAAAGGTCATTAGTTCTGAACTATTTGTAATATTATATACAACCATAACCTAATCCACGACATTGTATTACGCATACCTGTAGTATATTTAGGGTAGAGAATAATATTTGGAAGATAATGAGTTAGAATTCTTTATCTACCTTATCCCGTTTATGATTATATTTAATTTAATGGCATTTTTTTAATAAATAACATTTAAAAAAAATCAGTTTTTCACGTTTTTTTAATGAAAGATTCATTATTTTAATTTATTTATTATTACAATAATTAATAAATACCTACTGACTTATTTCATAAGAATTATACCTACAGCATGAATAAGTCGTAATCTACGAATATTTTTAACAATAAATTACTATATAGTATACAATATAACAGCTATAATAGAATAACATACGAATTTTTACAGTGCAAGTGCCGGGATCACTACTGCGAGGAAATGAAGGCCCGAGTGGAAGTATGTCGGCCGTTTGTGTTGGAGGCATCTAAAAATGAGACAGTGGTACCATGCGAACTGGCTAATTGGGTGTGTATGGTGGATACGGTATGTTCGACGGCACTCGACTATTATCAGACTTACTGCAGACGAATGCTAGTTGGTGTGGCATGCACGGAGCGATGCCTCAACTCTGTGGAAATACTGAGGCGACAGGAGAAAGCGGCCAAGATGAACCGGTGCAGGTGTACCGGAAAATCGGCAGTTGAGTGTCTACGTAACAAAGAGCGTATGGTTAGATTGTGCTACGGCGGCGAAGCGGACCCGCGACTCCAACAGGGGGGTTCTAGTAGCAGCAGTGGAAATGGAAACAAGTCCAGTGGCCGGAAAAATCGAAGAAAACACCGACCTAGGATGTTCGACCTGGACCCGGACCGGGCCGAAGTAGAAATGATGATGGCCAATGCAGATTATCAACCCGACGTCCGGAACAGGTACAACGCTTCGGACGACTTTAGTAGTGACAATGACGAAATAAACGAAGAAGAGAATGAAGACGAAGGATCCGGGTCCGCGACGGGCTTACTACCAGGAACAATATTAGTGGCGGCAGCATCTGCTTACTTAGTCACGCGATGATTATCGCTTGCTGCGGATTAAGCGTACGCGTGCAGGTACGAGCTTTAATTTTTCGGCCGGCCGAAACGCGCTTTTTCCGTTTTTGTTATATATAATTTTCTCATTATTTTTCGTGTTTTTTTTTTTTTTGTATAATTATTATTTATTCCTAGATCGGATTGACTGAAGCGTATAGTTCACGGGTGCGCACTTAATCGGGCACTCAGGGTTTCATATTTTTTGGGGGGTTCTTGTCTTAGATTAAAAAAAAATTGGGGAAAAGGTAGAAATCTATGAACGGCGTTACAATGGCGCTTGTCAACTAATCTATCTACTATTAAGGCTTTTTGCCAGACTGAAATAAAATCGTTTAACTGAATACGGGCATCGAGAAAAACCGCATGCCTACGTACGGTACACGCAGCGTGTGCTGCAATGTCCTGTAATCGAATAGTATTTCTTGTTTGAAGATATTATAATTATTATCAGTTCGCATCTTTTATTATTAACGTTTTTTTTGTTTCCGACGACGCGTTCATCAAACTCAATAAAAGGATTGTGATTAAAGACTTTTACTCTATAGGTATATATTTTTATTACATATAATTCCAGGAGATTATATTGTGTGTATAATATTATGTTAATAATATAATCGCTTTACATTTAGCTGTAATACAGTCATGCAGCGTTTGTATGATATTATTATAATTTGTACATATATATAATAATAATATATTATGTTAAAAAAATATATATTTTTTTAATCTGTGTGTATATTATCGATCGATCACTATTTGGTACAAAGTCGTTTTATGTATAGTTTAATTGCCATATATTATGTTTTATGTGTATTGTTTATTTATTTTTTTTTTACTTTACGCTCCATCGTCTGTTATTATTATATATTATGTAATTAGACATTGTATAAAAAGATATATTTTTATTTAGTCAAAGAAAAAAAAAATGATTACCAAAAAAAAAAAAAATAGTGTTTATTTTATGTTTTTTCCAATTGATCTCTATTATCCGACAATTCTTTTACGCAGCAGTCTTGACAATATTTTAATATGTTATACATTTCGAAAATATACGAGACACAGCTGCGAAAACTGTTAAGTTTAAACCATCGTCGTTATGTTACAATGTTGGTATACACCATACCTATAGCATGATAATAAATTCAATTAGCACGTGAAGTCAACGACAAGGAGAGCTCCTGTTTTTATTTACAACGCGTAGTATAATGAGTTTCCTTATTTTGGACACTGAGCCGGTCGTAAAATCAAAGACGCAACGAGAACGATAACGTTATGAATGTTATGATAATATATAATTGGAAACGACGATAATATATCCGACACGAAAACCATCGGCACTCCCCCACGAGTCTGTTATTTTCGTTATTGATCTCCGGTGGTCTAAAGGATTAAAAGATTATACGACACAAATGTCCGGAAGACATGAAACGGCGTCTGACTAAATCATAAATTCACCAAATGGTCTACTGCAGATACAGATAACATATTATAATATAATATCGTGACTACAACTGCAGCAGAGCACTATTGGAAAACTTTTACCCAAATGTTGTATGATGATGATAATATTATTATTATTATTATTATTATTATTATTATTATCATCGTCATCATCATCATCATCATCATCATCATACATTCATACCAATTAAATTGAAGTTACTTATTATACGACAATTCATAAAATAACCATATGTTTTAGAATCAGACATTATTATTTAAAATTCATAAAGTCCCCGAATATAATTTATGATTTCATATAGACATGTTTATACTACGACTTTTAATATTTTGTTTTTAAATGTAGTAACCATTTAAAATACCTATGTATACCATTTTTAGATATAAATTCAATAGAAAGTGTAAGCTAACAGTTGTCAACGTGACATTTTATTGACACAATATGTAATGAAGGAGTTTTTTCATACTTTTTAATTTTGAAATAATTGTGACTTAACTCTCGGTTGCCTGTTAGAATAGAAACTTGCCTAACACTAATGTTATATATATTATATATATATATATATATATATATATATATATATTGTTGTGTATAGTGAGTCCAGTCGCTGTATGCACGCACCGTGTGGTGTTTGTTGTGCGTTTTCGAACTTAAATATATGATCCAAACGGTGACCGCCGGTGGAGGAGGGGAGGACAGAGACCACCCACAATGGTATTATATAGGTTGCAGTGACGGCCGGGCCGGTCGCGCCGCGGAGACGCAATAATAATAATAATATGATTATTCCACGCGTGGATCGAAGGGGAGGGGACTGAAACGATGTATATACAGGGTGGATCGAGTTGTTTTTCACAATATGGCTGAAGGAAATTAAGAAAACACAACACAGTGACCTTTGGACCTTGTGGTTTTTCCATCAGACTTAAAAAAAAATAATACAATAATTATTTAACAAACAAAATGATGAGTGAACTTCCGCTCACATTAGAAAAATATGACAATGTGCGCTCCGTATAAATGTATAATATTTTACGTATTACCTATGTGGGACGATGACACCTATCACCATGGTCCAAGGTCGAATGTGTCGGAGAGACTCGCAAGAGTATTTTGATTTGTCGACATCATATACTATCACGACGATAATAATAACAATACGAACTATACGGTAGCCATCGCATTTCCGAAGGATAATTTTTAACAATATTTATGCGCGTCATGAAAACGATTAACGACCAATACACATACAGGTTAAATTACTTAATTCAAGCGTGGGCGATTTAGGTATAAATAAAGGATCTTAATAGCGTACCTATTACAAATTCACAGTGTGAATTTATATTTTCTATTTCGTAGTTATATACCAACAAATATAACTATAATTGTATAGCACTATACTTTTATAACGATGATCATTGACTATATTATTTTATATCATACTTATTTAGCACGTAACAGTATAATATATTGTTTACTGGGCTTAAATTGGCAACAAATTTTGAGTGTTTCGTACATGCATCATATACTAAACGATTTTTATTTGGTTAGAAACTGTATGTTTATATAGTTATTATGTTAAATACATAATGTACATGAAAATAAATTATTTATACTAAAAAAAAAAAAAAAAATATTTTTTTAGAACCTACTACGGCACAACTACGTTGATATTGTGATCATTATTATGCATAGACTGTAAAACATAGTTAACATCATCTAAATCATGCTTAAATAATTTAAATTAAATAGATATAACAACTTTTTCGTACGTATAGTAAATCGTTTAAATACATCATTCAAAGTACCATAGCAATAACGCGGTATGTGTTTCGCGGAAAAGTTCAGTGCCCCGTCACTGTCACACTAAGTACATACACAGAATTTCCCGCGCGCACGCGAAAACTCACATTTTTTATCAGATAGGGTAAGGTCACTATACTATTAGGGTATACCGCCAAAAATGGTTGTCTTTCCACTTATACTTTCACTTATTTATTTCGTGAATTGATGTCTAAAAATCAAAATCATTTGATATTGATAACATTTGAAATTTTTAACATATGGTTTCTACATGAATACACCAAATTCTTATTTTTTTTAAATGCAAATTAAACGCATTAATTATGAATAAAAAAAAAAAAATCATAGTTAAAACTATATGTACTATGGAAGCTCTTGATCTGCTATTCAAGCCCATAGAACGTGAATTTTTGATTTATCTATTAAATACTAATCGCAAAAAATATTTTTTAGAAGATTTAAGAAATTTCCACTTTACGTTTTTTGATTACTTTTGGATTTCACAGTAACATATTCTGATCAATTTTTGAAATGTATTCGTTAATACGTTTCAATGCAGAATACTTCATTTCGTGAATCCTACCTAATTCAATTTCCAAGGAAAAACAGTTGATAGTGTGGCACTAAGTTAATAAGTGGTTAATTTCACTATAATTTCATTTTAATTCTATACAAAAACACTTGTATATATTTTATCATTTTAAAATTAACCTATTTAATTAAACACTGCTAGTGTCTCGTAGGATTGAGATTTTTACCTAAAACATTAAATGGAAGACTTATAAAATATATGTTATATATATATTTATCCTATAGGATACAGCTTGATGTGCCAAGCTACTTAATTTCTCAACTGGTCACCACAAAATGGGCAGTTTAAGATTTACATTATAATAAAATAATCATTTATTTTTAAATTACCTCCACTCTCCTATCGAAAAATATCTGTGAACATTGCGCCATATTCTATTTATAATTTATTCGCATTTAATATAATTATCTATTAATATTTAAAAAATATTTTATCAACTTTAAGCGCTAGTTATTTGGTTATATTTCTTTCCAAAAAGCTTTTAAATAAAATGTAATATATAATGTACATTTTATTTTGTATTATTATAATATTTTTTCAGTTAAACCTATTGATTATACATAAAATATTTTCAATAAAATATAACATTTGAATGAATATTAAAATACGCATTATATATATTATTCTTATTACTCGACACAACGTAGTAATTGTTTGCATTACCCATAAGTATAAGTGACATTGTATATTTGTATATCATATTAGTGTATAATAATTGCTTGTTCAAAAAATCCTAATTAAAACGTAATATTTTATTTATATACATTAAGCTAACAATTAATTAAAACACTTTTGAACGTTTTTTTCAAATAGATATTTTAATTATTAATTTACTATTTTATTTTTGTTGAGATTAGGTCTAAAGATTATTCGACTTATACTGGTACATTTATTTGTCCACATATATATATAGGTATACCGTATGTATGTATACATAATAGTTTATACTATACACTAATCACTCGAGATTTACAACAAAAACTCAGATATGTCCTGATTTCCTCTATTTTATAAGATAATAAAATGAGAACAGTATTTTGTTTTAACAATCCCATGAAAAGAGATCAAGTTGATAACATTCAGTAGTGCTTAAGTCGTAATCATAAACATTTCTTTTTTTCAGTAAGAAAAAATGTGTCTATTTTGAGTATTTATAATTAATAAACTTGGTAACCCAAAAATATATAATATTTTTGTATTGCTTAGCACATGCTTTATCTTTAATAACATATACATGTAATACGTCATATTGATTTTATTAGTAAAGTTTTTTTTAAATGAATAATTTATCTATTCTCATTACTCAGCATCTATATAGTTCTTGTTAGAAGATCTAACCATATTTACCTCATAGATACAAGGGTGCATGCTTGGCATTTTGCCTTTTATCAATTAATAATAATTATTATGACTTATGACCTACTGCAGTTTATTTTAACTTTTATTTATATTATCTATAAATAATAACACAATGAGCCAGTATAATATTATAATGTTACATATTTCATTAGATTATGCATATTTTCGAATTTTTATGCTATTTTAACGCAATTTAAAGTAAAACCAGTTTTATTTCATCTCGCATAGGTACTTCCAAGTTCCAAGATTGTGATTACAATAAAATTCAACATCGTTTGGTATTAAAGTATCATACCATCTAATGTTTTTTTTTTTTTTTAAAGAATGTAATAATAATTATTTATTGTTTATTATTATTAATCAAAAATAAAAGACTTAATTAAAATACTTATATTGTATATATATATATATATATATATATATAAAAAAATTACTAAAAACAATTTTCTAACAAAATACGGATACAATATTGCAATCATTGCAATTTTCAATAATTTGTATTTTAGGTAAAAACTGATTTTAC